TCATATGTCTTGGTGTTGTCTTCCCGGTGTTCCTTTTGTTAGGGCCTCTCTGTACTTCCAGGATCTGGTGTCTCTTTCCTTCCCCAGATTTGGGAAGTTTTTGGCAATTATTTCCTCAAAGAGACTTTCTATACCTTTATCTCTCTTCTCCTTCTAGTACCCCTATTAGTGGATATTTTTTAATTTGGAGTTGTTGCACAGCTCTCTTAGCGTCCTCTCATTCCTAGAGATTTTTTTCTCTGTTCCTCAGCTTCATAGTTTTCCTGTTCTCTGATTTCCATATCACTGATTGTCTCCTGTACTTGCAGCAGCCTATTGTTCATTCCATTGTATATTTCATTTCAGTTACTGTATTCTTCAGCTCTTAGTGGCTCTTTTTCAGGTTTTCTTTCTTTGTTGAAGTTCTCCCTGAGATCATCAATACTTTCTACAGATCAGTGAGTATACTTATGACTGTTACTTTGAAATCTTCGTAAGAAGATTGGTGATCTTTGTTTCATTTAGCCCTCTTTCTGGTGTCTTATCCTGTAGTTTTGTTTGGAACATATTCCTCTGCCTCTTCATTTTGGCAGGGTTTTCTGTGTTTCTTGGTTTGTATTAGGTATATCTGCTATGCTTCCTGGTCCAGAGAATAATGGCTTTATGAAGAAGTGACCCTGTTGTGCCCAGAAGCTCAAGACTCTTTCCAGGGCCTGATTCTCCTTTGAGGTGGAGCCCTATTTGCTGTTGGTGGGTTATGGGTGGGGCTGCCTTTCTGTCTGCCCACAGTGGTCTCATTCTGCAGTGGATGACAGTTTGCCTCAGCCAGCCCTTTGTGATCAGAGCAGTGGTGCTTCTGCTGGGATTGTTTGGTCAGGGCTTCCCTCTGTCTGCCTTGCAGCTGTTGCAAGGGAGTGTTAGGTTAACAGGGTAGGTAGGACAGTCGTGCTTTCATGAGTTCCAAACTGCCACCTCTGTTTTATTTCTCAGCAGACAGCAGGCAGTAAAGTGTGATGCTGTTGGTCAGAGAAGGCCAGGCATAAGGGCAGTGTGCAGGGAAGTGCCCTGGGGGGCTGAGCCATCAGCAAGGGAAATGCACCATTTGAGGCTCCCATGAAAGCCTGGCCAGTTGGGCAAAGGGAAGGCTGGGGAAGTGTCATCCACCTGCCCTTTCTCCTGCAGAGACAGCTCCTTCCAATCCATGCCTCTCTGGCACTCTTTCCTCTGCTGGGAAATCTTTCAGGCTGCTACCTATGTTGGGTCTCAGTGGCACCAATGGAGCATGTCTTTCCTCCACAAGCAGCTGCAGTCTCCACCTCCCAGAGTGCTCCAACTCTCCTTGGTGTCCAGACCCACTGCTCACCAAAGCCCAATGCAATGTGGACTCATGTTCCCAGAGCAGTGCTCCAGGGCCGGGTGTGCAGAGTTCCTGAACACATATCCCTTCCCTGCTCCATTCCTCTTCCTCCTGCCTTTGGGCTGGTATGGGGAAGGGCTTGGGTCCCAACTGATTGTGGCTCTGCCACTTTACCCTTCTCTGTGTTGTCTTTTCTTCACCAGGTATAGGTGGTCTGTTCTGAAGTCTTCAGGTCATTTTCAGCGTTAGTTGTATTTGCTGTAGTTGCTTGCTTGGTGTGTGTGTGGGGGAGGAGGTTTCTGCCTTACCTTCCTACTCTGCTATCTTTTTTCCCAAAATCTGCAGTTTTAAGACAGGAAGTATAAGGAGGGCCTCATGGAGGTTATGTGTGAGTGCAACTTTCAGGAAGGAGAAGTCATACAGATATCTGAGGAAGGGCTTTCCAGAATGAGAGAAGAGAAAATGCAAAGGTCTCAAGATGGGTGTGTCCATGGCATATTCAGGTGACAGCCAGGTGGCCCAGTGGCTGGAGTGGGGTGAACAAAGTGGGGGGAAGTATGAGATAAGGTCAGAGTGGTGACAGCATGATGAGGGGTTGGGGGTGCATATCACAGATTTGTCCAATACAATAGCCAACAGCCATATGTGGGTATTTACATTTAAATAAAATAAAATTCAATAAAATAAAAAACCTAATCTTCAGTCCAGCCACATTCTAAGTGTTCAAAAGCCACCTGTATTAGTGTTCACCATGTGGAGCAGCTCAAAGAATATTTCCCATCATTGAAAAGGTCCTACTGGACAGCACAGATCATGATAAACCATTGTAGACTTTGGTTCCTACACTAAATGAGATGAAGATAACAGAACAATCAGAATTCTCTTCATATTCAGAAAGACAATATAAAATTAGTATGTTTCAAATGATTAAAATGTATCAAACCAAGAAAATATGAAGACAGTTTAAAAAAGGGTAGATTTGAAAAAGAACAGACCTGGAAGTTAAATAAAAGGAAATTAAAACTTCAGTGGCTAAATTAAAAGGCAGATTAGATAGTAGAAGGGAATTAGTAAATGGAGTATGATATGTAATCTTACACAGTGCTTCATGTGGGCCCCACAGTGCTCTAAAAGCTATATTGAATCTTCCACCCACAGCTGGGTGGATGGTATTGTTTTCTCCACAAAACAAGCATGGAAACAGGCATGGAGAAGTTGCAGTTTCCCATCTGGGCAATCTGAAGTCTGCACTCAAATGCTAGGCAATATTGTCTTTTAGGAATTTACCAAAAACTCAGCGCAGAAAGATAAAGAGATGGAAGATAAGAGGGATTAAAAGACATGGAGGGATAGAATGAGAAGGTCCAATGAACATCCAACAGGAATTCCAGGAGTGAATAAAGAAAACCACAGGGGCAATTAATGGTTTTGCCACTAGTGGAAAAAATGGTGGAGAATTTTTTATAGTCAATAAAAGTGAATACCAAGATTCAAGAAGCACAAGTCCCAACTAACGTAAATACAAATGACTTCACAGCCAAATACTTAGTAGTAAAATTGCAGAATACCAAAGGCAGAGTGAAAATCTTTTAAAGTCTCTAGAGGAATAAATTCCAGAACCAGGAGAGGCTGGGAATGAGACCCTCAGTGGGAGAACAGAGATCTGTAACAGGCGGTGAGCACAGTGGTGTGGGTGTGAACAGAGCGCTGGCTTGTTTAGGGCAAGGACCACAGCAGGAATGTATTCAATCCTAGCATCCCATAAGCAGTCTCAACTGCTCCCAGGTCCTGGCAACTCCCAGCTTCCTAGGCATGCTCTCATCTCAGGTTGGTACAGGGTGAACATTGCTCTGGGAACCTTAATAACTACAGGGTGAATGAATGAATGCAAGAGAAGAATTTTGAGAATAGTGAGGTGAACCTAGTGGCTACCCTTAGACTGTTGAACAGACATATTTATGAAAAGCTATTCATGGTGTCTACAGTTGTACCTAGAAATGTCTTTCGCTTTCTGCTAAGAATCCAAAGCAAGTATAATTAAAACAGAACAATCTCTTACATCCTTTCTGGATGTTTGCTAGGCTGATTATAAATATTAATGAAAGTTTAAATAATAATAAAACCCAGAGCAAAATTTCAGCAGCCTCTGTGGTTAGTGCAGTCTTGTCAGCCACAACTTGTAAGCACCCCTAACCACATAGGGCACCCCATAATCCATCCTACAGCTCCTCATGCCAACAGCCTCCAATCTGGGCATATCTGATGGAGGTACTATAAAGCTTTGTTGTCCTATAAAGCTTTCTTACTCCTATGCTGCCTTTGAATCTACCACTGCCAAAATGCAAGTGACGGTGGCTGACCCCTACCCCAGCAATCTAGGAATAGCCTTTGCCTGTTCTTATTCGGTTGGACTTCATATATTTCCAAAATAACCGGCCCAGGATCCCTCAGCTATTGTTGGCTGGTCAGGGTCTGGAACCAGGCCTGACTACAAGCTCATGCTCTTTCTGCAGTACCACTTGTCCTTTTATGGAGGCTGAGCCTCAAGTGCCTTCAGTAGCCCAGCAAGCAGGATGCTGATGAGAGGCAGGCACTTTGACTTGGCATAGTTTATTACAATTACTATGTGTATCAAACCACGTAAACTCCACAAAGTAAACGGTTTAGCCTCTACAATAACCAGCAGCTAGTCTGCCCTTAACTTCCACCACCCCTCCCTACTATTTTAACACTGACACGTTTCACAGAAAGTCATAGTCATACAAATAGGATTATAATACATTTTTTTAGGGAAAGGATTTTTTGGTCCACATTTTCTATTAAAGAAACACATACTTTCCTCTTTGGCAAAAGAGGTTAAATCCCCCACAGTGAACTCACAAAGCAAACTCAGACAAAAACCACTGAACATGAGGTACAGCTGAGGTATGGGATTATCTGGAATTATAGACACATAGTTGAGGGGAAACTGTTTCTTCAAAAATCAGTTCAATTCCCAACCATTTTTGTAGAAAAGCTCTATGAAGATTTGGCCTCTGTCACTTTGGTAAGTAAGCACATACTTTAAATAACTTTCTTCTGTTTCAAGGTACAATGTGCTATTTCTGAAGAAAAGTCACAAATTATTTTTTACGTGGGTGTCTGACCTCGGCAATATTTTTAATCTGAGGTACTAAAGCATCTGACACAGTAATTCAGACTAATTGCTGTGCCACCTTCATTCAGTTTGCTGGGAGCTCAGTTTTGGTTATGGTTAAGTCTCAGCATTTGACTTTGCAGACAGTTTGAAAAGCGGATTTGCAGGTGAAAGCCGTACAGTATCTCCAGGCCACAGGTGAGGACCAAACAAAGGGTTAGTAAGGCCTATAGTCCTCAGAGAGCCAGGGCCCTCAGGCGGAGGCAGAGAGAGGCCCCGCAGGCCTGCCCAGCCACCGCGGTCTCCACGTTAAGTGGAGTCTAAGGAACAGACTCAGCAGCTGCTGAGGCGGTTGTGTTTTGTTTTTTAATCTGCAATGGTAATTTCTAACAACCACCCTGGTGCGCTTTTCATGGTTCAAGTAATTTCCAGGAGAAGTATGTTAACGATGCTTTTAGTTGTACTTATCAAAGGAAAGGAAATGAGCCACAGTAACAAGATTAAATTTAAATAGACCTGCTGCTAATACAGTTATCAGATAAAATATATTTAAAAAATGAACATACGTAGACGTTTTCGCCACAGCTGCATTCTCCCACTTAACCTCTGTGCAGAACAAAAATCTGATAACAGCAAACTTGTTACTTTAATTCTTGTTAAATACAACTCTGTACAGATTGCACATTTTTTCACCAAAGCAGCTCAAATATCACAGTTAAGAGACATGAAAATGCCATCTGAAAATTCTCATTTTCCTAGCCCAAAAAAACAGACGCTTGCCCTGTGGGTCAAAACAAAACCAGCTGCACAACTCTGTAAACAGAATGGGAGGTGGTCTCCAGGACGCTCCCTCAGGGGCCTAAGGCGCGCGCACACGCGGGCGCACAGGCACGCGCGCGAGCCCGTCCCCCTGCCTCCCGCGCCGCAGGCGCTGCCCAGCAGAGGCTCCGCTCGAGGGGGCGGGGCGGTGTTCACAGAAGCGCCGTCATGGCCGTCGGGTTGAGGGGTCGGGGGCAGTCCCTGGGGGCTGAGTAAGGGTCACTCGTCGCGGGATTCCCCAGAGGCTTCTGATAGTCGGGATCTGCGCGGCCTGCGGGCGAGCTACCGCCGACCTTGGGTTGGTCGTAGCCCGCGGCGGCGGGCGCGGGGCTCTGCGGCATCTGGTAGCCCGCGCTCGGGGCGCCGGCCGTTGAGAGGCCGCCGGCGGGCAGGCAGTGCTCCCGCGGCGGCCGGGGCCCGGGCACTCGGTAGCCGCTGCGCGCGGGGAAGGCGTGCGCGCGGGCCGGGGGCCGCTCCACGATGGGCGTGGCGTACTCGGGCTCGCCGTGGGGCAGCGGCTGCGCGTACTCGTGGCGGCCGGCGCCGGGAGGGCTGTGGTAGTGCGCGCCGGCCTCGCTCGCGCCGGCCTCGTCCGCCTCGGTGTCCATGGGGCGGAAGGTGGAGCCCTTCCTTGTGACGGCCCCGGTGCCGATCATCAGAGGCTGCTGGTAATCTGACATAAGAGCAGAAGACATGTTTGTGGACCGCACTGACACACGGACCAGACAGCTGTTTGTCGAGGGGGGCGTCTGCTGAACAAACTCTGCTGAACGCCTAATGTGTACCAGGCCCAAGAGATGTGCAAGGCATAGATGCCACAATAGGGACTGACACAACCATACTCCTGCTACTGGAGGCCTGCGAGGGGCACAGGAACACAGAGAAGGCAGAGAGGCGCTTTAGCCAGGCCTAGGGGTATGAGAGAAAATACTGCGTGGCGCTTGAAATGCCAAATTTTGGAGGTGGAGGAAAGAGAAAAGTAATAGGTTAAGCATCCTATTGAACAGCTATTTAGAGTCGGAGCTTGATGTGACCTGAGTATGAGGGACCTGGAGTAGTTGAATAGACTATAAAGACCAAGACAGGTTGGGGAATAACGATAATGGTGATTATAGTGAGAACACATTTACTGAATACTTATTCCATGCCAGGCACTATTCTAAGATACTAAGATAATCAAGTAACTAAATCCTCAGAAAAAAAAAAGTGATATGAGATTGGTATTATTACTTATTTTACAAATGGAAGAGTGCAAGCAGAGAGAGAGAAACTTTTTAAGATCACACAGCCACCAGCGGGTGGAGCCAGAAGTCGTACACTATCTCAAGGTGTGCTGTTAGCTACATGCTTGATCACGTGGCAGCACCGGGTGCCTTGCTAGGAAGCTTGGTTTAGTTGTGCAGAAACCTGAGGATTCCTACCAAATGGGCACAGCTAGAGGTAATTTGGGGGCAGACTGAAGAAGGAAAGATAAACCTAGAAGTAAAAAACACAGAAATGAAATATAAGTCACAAATTGGGGGTCTGGCAGCAGCTTTGGAGACACGCCACAGTTTGAGGACAGGAATCAGGAATTTATTACCAGTGATTAGTAGCATGAGGAAAGAGGGAGCCAAGAGCCATCACTTCCCAGATGTTAAGCATGGAGTTGCGAAGCCACTTAGAAGAGGAATGCATGGAGCATATGTGGGGAGAGTTAGGGACAGTTTTGGGCACACTGCAGGACTGGTGACACTCGTGGGTGGAGATGTCCAGTAGGCAGAGAATTACTGCCTTATTGGGAGGAAAGTCTGGGCATGAGCAGCTGAGCAGACAAACATGCCAGGAAGGGGTCTGCCGGGAACTCTGGAGGGAGTGGGCAAGACTGCCTATGGGAGGGACTGGGGACAGTGGGGGCAGGAGCAGGACCCGGGGCCTTGCAGGTTTATGGTGCCCGAGCAGGACCGCACTGTGAGGAAAAAGGATAGGCTGCACCAGAAGCTGAAGGAAACGGAGAGGAAGAAGGGAACAGCTAAGGGGTTCTCCCCTCTGCTTGCTTCATCCCCAGGGTAGCACTAGAATTGTCAGGGGGAAAGAACAGAAGATGGATTTGGGGTTGGAGAGATGCTCTCTATGCCCCTGAAGCAGCTCAAGCAACCTTTCCACTGGTACCTTTGTGACTTAGTACATATGTACATGCTCACCTGGGAACTTCTGGTTCAATAGGCCTGGGGATGGCCTGAGATCCCACCCTTCTAGCAAGCTCTCTGCTGTGTGTCCTCAGAATGCACTTTAAGTAGCAAGAAGCTAAAGCAGCGCTACTCCAAGTATAACTGTCAGATGCCTACATAGGTCTGAAATGATTAAGAAAACTGAGAGCAAGTGTATAGAAACCTTAAGCAATTTGAGAGTGTTTTTATGTCTACTGAGTTTAATAAAATTAGAGCTTTGCATTTTGTATGCCTTCTAAAAATTTCATTATTACTACCAATTTATATTGTATTTTACACAAGTATTAGTCCTTGATGGATTACAAATATATTAAAAAAAAGCAAAAAATGGATTCTTCTCCAGATTGTTTGAGAATCTCAACTCTCGATGGCTTTTCAGAGACACTGAGGCCATCCTAACGCTGGATAGGTTTCTTCAAATCCCTATCTCCTCTTCCTCAAGGGGAGGAGCTGTGCTTAATTCATTTTTCTAGTCCCTCCTTCCTATGCCTTCAATGAACCTTTAGTAACAAAAACATTAAGGGCTTCCAAATTTTAGTGGTACTTCAGGCCCCTGCTATGGGTTTCCTTATAGCCCCTGCTAGTATACAGGCCTCTGCTCATGGGGCTTTTGAGAGAGAGCTCAACGTCAGTCTATAACTCTGTGCAGAGTGTGGAAAGAAAATGTCACACATTACTGAGTTATTGGATCCCATCTAAACAAAAGGATTTTAGTCTGATTTCTCTGCATCTCCCTTCTCCCATAAGCAGCACCTCCTGTCTAACAGCAAAGGCTTGATGCTTACCTGCCATATCACTCGTGATGAGATCTAAGTTTTGTGTCATCTCTTTTCCATTGTCATAGCTGATGGTAAACTCAGCTGACTGGTGTCTGGCAAAGGGATACTTGATCTGCTTCCAACAGTCTGGAATAAAGATAACATGAAAGGAACTTAATATCTCAAAAGTGTAATGCACATATCCACAACACATTCCTTGATGAGTCTGAGGCCAGGCTGCTTTCTGCTGGCCTACAGTGATGAATACTTGGCCACAGCCCTCAGGGTGTGTGGTCGAAGCAGCATGCTGAGGTCATTACAACCACAAATACTATCCCAACATGCTTTCCACTGTGCCTTTAAAATGTGTTTGTGCCCATTAGGTCCCAGATTACCCTTGTGTTAGGCCAGCTGGGCATGGTTTTTCATAATCTGCCCTGACATAGCATTCGTGACCTAGGGGAGTCAACACAGCTGTTTGTTTAGACCTTGTGGAGGTGGAGTCCCAAGTTATCCTTGAGATTCCAAGGGGTCCTGCTCCACAGCTGTCTCTGTGGACCACAGCTGACTCATTGTTTGGGCATCTTGTATCCTAAGGATTTTCTGAAACCTGAACACGAGCTCTTCCTAGACCTTGTCCCCCCAGGGTGGAAAACACAGGAAGTCTGAACATACAGAGAGTGCTGGACAATGTTCAGTTCAGATGGGGCCATTCTAATTTCTGGATGACAGGCAGTGTAGTGAGTGGCCTAAACTCCAGCAGCCAAAAGAAAAAGAATGTTGATAAGAGATGGGATGATGTTGCACAAAAACAAAAGTAAACTGGCCTTAAAGTCTCTAAAATAGAGATAGGATACACTATACTCCTTCCTTGTATACTCCTAGCAAATCTTCCTTGTAGATTTGCTAACTTAAAGACTACACACCTTATTTTTTTAACTTATATGTTTGGTCACTGACCTAACTGTGCTTTCAATCAGCAGATCCTATCCCTTCCTCAAAGACAGAATATAATCTTAGAGTTTTAACCAACCTGTTTTTTGAGCCTTAGCTGATCCATAAGGACATCCTTTCTTTCTCCTCCTATCAAGACAAAAAATCCTACTGAAAAGGTTTCTTAAGTGATAAGTATTGCTTATAAAATAATACTTGACACTTTCTACCTCTATGCAACTTGTTTTTAAAATATAAGTTAATGTTTTATCTCGGAAGAAGTAATACTACTTTTCTATACATTAATATCTGAAAAGCAACCATTTTGATTTTGTGGTTTTTTTATACAACTAGAGAAGAATTAAAAAATGTGAAGTCACATACCTTCTAAGGGCTGCAAAGATTCCCATTCCAGCAACAAGCAGGGTAAGAAGCACAACGGGAATAATAACAGTTGTGACGTTTATTCCTAAGAGGAGGGGAAACCACCACATTACAATAGAAATGAACTGCAACAAAACTTCATGATCTAAAACTGAACATTGATTTGAAAGGTCTTCAACAGTTTAATATATGGGGAAAATGAATACATGCTAGGCATTTACTGATACCGGAAAGCAATAAGAGGATTCAAAATTGTGGCTAGTTCAAGGAAATAAAATTTACCTTTTTTCCCCCAAAAGGCAGTTTCCAATGCTCCTTAGGGATTAACATTTATCTGAACTTACTGCTTGGACCCTATTAGACTGTATCAGAATTGAGGGGGAAAGTTTAAAGCTGGCCCACCCAGCCAGGAGCTATTCAGAGAGATAAATAATGTAAACACAGTGTGAAGCTAAAGCAACCAGTTCCCCCCACCCCTGACAGCGGGCAGGTTTGGACCTGTACAGTAATGGGGCCCGGAGAACCCTGGGCTTCCTGTTGACCAGAGCATTGCTTTGGAGCCGTGGCCTGAAAGGAAATGCAGCCTGATGACCTTAAACAGCATTTCTGCTCTGATGCATGAAACACCAGACCACGTCTTCCTGTATCTCTTTCTGCTTTAAGATAGGAGGTCACTTCAAAAGCCACTAAAGCAGGCCCCTAGTATGCAGAAACTATGCAAGCTAAAAGAGAAACACTTGTTCTTCATCCTTCTTTATCTGTGATCCCTGGGGAGAAACTAAAGGGATGATCAGGAGTGGAAATGTGTGGTTCAGGAGAGCCCGCATAAGGGACTTTGAAGGGAACAAAATGTACATGAGTAACAGCAGTATATTTATAAGAGTGGAAATTTGGAGAAATCTAAACAATTTAACATCCAACAGTAAGGGAATGGTTAAGTAGATGATGGTATATCCATATGAAAGAATACTATAAAGATATTCATAATTGTGTTTTTCAGCTATTTAATAACATTGGAAAATGCATATAATACAATGTTAAGTGACAAATATATGCTACAGAATAGAATTTATGGTATGCTACCATTTTGTCTCAAAGTTATAAATATACTTGATTGAGTAAAATGGAATATGGTGATTATTTATGGATGCTTATTTATGGTTATTGATGGATGATCTTAATTTTTATTTATGTTTCTCTAATCTTTCCAAATTTTATAGAATACATAAATTATATTCCAAAAAAAGAATGTAACTTTAACATTCATTACTTGAATACATTATACACTTACATGTTCAAAATTCGAAAAGCATATAAAGGTATGGAATGGAATGTCTCCTTCCTAACTCTGCTTCTCCCCTACAGGAAGCCAAATTATGTTTCTTGACATTCTTCTAGAGTTATTGGAATGAATATATATATACACATATATACACACATAGTAAAGTACTATATAGAACATATATATATATATAGTAACATACTATATAGACTATTCTGTACCTTGCTTATTTATATTGTCACTGCATCTCAGAAAACTCCCTATATTACTAACACTTTCTTTTTCATTGCTGCAGAGTATTCCACTGCATGGATGTGCTATTATTTTTCTGTAAAATATTTACCTATTGTTTGAAGGGCAAACACTATCTTTCATACTTACAATATTGCAGTGAATTGTTGTGGACCATTTGCTTGTAGACATTTACATGACAGAGAAAAAAATTTTGTTGAAGCTACCATAATATCAGATGGAATACCACTTATACTCCTCAGGAAATCCACAAAACAGTAACTGCTCTACCGGTGGGCATTTCTTCAGAGGGGATGGATTCTGTGATTGTCTCATCCTCTCTTTTAGTTGAACCAACGGTATTTGGACTTGTTTTGCACCACCCCAATGAGAGAAATGTTAGGAAAACCACATTAGTAACAACAATTTGTAAAAGGAGATGACCAGGTCTAAAGAACTCACTGACTTGCCCTGAGTCCTACCTTGTGTAATTGGGCAGCCAATGAGCTCCACTTTCAAGGCTATCCTCTGGTGCCATGTCTGGGGCACAACCCGCACATATCTGGCCACAATGGGAGGGATGAAATTGTTCCTCACTGGATCCCGGAAATTAGAGTTGCCCTGAAACACCTGTAGAGACAACTAACTTTTACCTGCAGATTCCATTATTTGTTTTTAGGTCTTTATTAACCCACTCAACCCAGACATATAGAACCAAAGCCAGGATTCTGTTTCTGTTGCATTTCTGTAGACACCCTTGATACTGAAGATACAAGGCTTTGCAAACAAAGGCCAAGTTATCTAACTAAGGGGCTGCTGCAAATCTATTTTCAGGAAGCATACTGAGGAAAACATTTGGAGGCATGCTCTTCTACTCAGTTCTTTCCTCCAGAGTGTCTCTTACCTTTTCTTCATTATTCACAATTCCTTTATAGGTCCTCCACTTGGAATTGTTTTTGAAGTTTATCATGAAACTCTTAACATAAAAGTTGAAATTTGGCTGTGTGGATCCTGTGGTCCTAATTCCTTGTAAGAAAATATTATTTATAGGTTAGTTTTAGAAATAGGTCTTATAAAACATGCATCATGATTTCAGGTCCTATTCTATTTTTTGTCCTCATTTTTGAAATCTTAAACCAAAGGCCTATTTTTCTAATGTGCATTTGGAAACCTGACCACAGATGATGAGTATATTCACACTGACAATATGCCATAAAAAGGTATCGCCACTGACCTAATTCATACATCCATATTTACAACCTGAACACAGGTTCTTCTCAGAGATAGTGTGAAGATTTGTCA